GGTTCCTAGGTCCCCGTAAAGGGATATATAGGGTTATATTGGCTCTGGAAACTACTATAGTATATTGGGGTTATATAGGGATAATGGAAAAGAAAATGGAAACTACTATAGTCTATTGGGGTTATCTAGGGATAATGGAAAAGAAAATGGAAACTACTATAGTCTATTGGGGTTATATAGGGATAATGGAAAAGAAAATGGAAACTACTATAGTATATTTAGGTTATATCGGGATAATGGAAAAGAAAATGGAAACTACAACAAAGACAGCGTGAAGCCAGCTAGCCTTTACTAGTGTCCGGGAGAACTCTTGAGGGCTTGCAAGGCGCAGGCAACTTGCTGAGTACCCTGGGCTTGTCTTTTGGTCCTAGCCCAGCAGCCCAAGGAGATTCCTTCGGCACCCCCAGCATCAGCGCCGCCAGCGGATTCCTGGCGGGAGTTTAGCTGACGCAAAGCCCTTTGCCAGATTGGTTTATACCATATATGCACTTCTATGAACGAAGGAACCTCCACGGGATGCCGAAAAAAAACAGGCACCGAAGGATCGAGTTATGACTGAAGCCATTATGATTCTGGGCGAATGGCCGACGTAAGGATTCGCCTGAGGAAACACCCCCAAACCTGTAAGACTGGACCCAAAACTGCGACCACTAGCTTTGACTTAACTCTTTGTGGCAACCCCATTGTGTGGCTTGTAATCAATAGTAACATCCCTCTTGGTAGTGGGATGTTCCTAGTCCTGGACCTTTAAGCCTTTAATCCTACACCGTGGAGCCGGTTGACGTTCGGAGCCCAGAACCCTGGACTCCGCGAATCATCAAGCCCCAGGTCCTGATTAGACTTACAGCCTAGGACTAAGTAGGAAACGCATAGTTCCCTCGTAGTCTTGGCCAGCAAAGGCTTTGCTAAAAGACAGCATGGCTCATAGTTCGGGATATCTTCGAGCTGTCCCACTCAAATTTCCTTCTTAAGGGGGTAAGATGACCAAGCCCACGCTCGGAGGTCAATGGTACTTCAGTGGGCTTATGACCTTAACACCCCCTTACTGGCTGAATAGGTTACCTTAGTTCTAAGCAGGAGTATACCCCAGTTATGAAGAACTGCTACTTCCCATAAGCCCTGCAAGTACGCAGCCTGGCCAAGGATGTTGCCTCAGCACCTCCAGCCAGCGCTCCGCCTCCGGTTCTCTTCCCAGCTGTCTTTCTTGAAGCAGTTCAAGCTTCTTAGAGCCATCCGTAAGTAAGATCTACAACATTGGGAATTCCATCTATTTCAAGGGAGCCTACAGCAAGAACACCTGCAGTAAGCTGCTGTGTCTTGGCTAGTGTACCCAAAGAAGTATTGCAGGCTGACGTGGTGCCCTATCTGTGGTGTGATTCGTCTAGTGACCATTGTAGGATTGTAAGTGTGATCCTCTTCGTTACGATGCTAGTGCCGCCATACTTATCTTGGTAGCTGTCATTGTTCTTGTTCTCATGGTGGATGTTGTTGTTGTTGTTGTTGTTGTTGTTGTTGTTGTTGTTGTGGTTGTTGTTGTGGTGGTGGTGGTGGTGGTGGTTTTGGTGGTGGTGGTGGTGGTGGTGGTGGTGGTGGTGGTGGTGGTGGTCGTCGTCCTTGTCCTGAGTCTACTTGTCCTGAAGTAGGCCACGGGACTTATCTCCTCAGCTGCCTTCTAGCTTGTAGCGACCATAACTCGGCAGTAGCAAAAAGATCATCGAAGCACGGTGGTTCATAGTCTCGTCACCGTTAGAAGATGCGAATATGCAAGCTACTGTCATCAGTCTGGCTAGCACAGAGGTATTAAAGGTGACCAAAGGGTTCCTTATGGCACGTTGGCATTGTCCTCTGCAATCCTTGTCCATCCTGATTGTTGTTGAACCCCCCCCCCCCCCTTCCCAAAGGCACAGGCTGACTATAGCTGAAGTGATGGAAGCTTATGGCCCAACTTTCCAGGAAGTTGCAGCACCTGTGGCTGTCTGAAGCTCAGAGTTAGCTCCAAGGCTCCTATCCACGAAGATGTCACAGGGTGAAGTAAGAACAGTTAAAGGGGTGTTCTTGGGCGTAGCATTTTAGGGAGAAGGTGGTTGGGGAATCCAGGAATGCACCGGGAAAATGTAGTTACATTACCCCATCTACTTGACTAGACTCCTGATTATGGCTTGTGTGAAGATGTGTGAAGGGCTTGGTTTGTTGCGACTTAGAGCTATTCAGGGGGTTATATCAGCTTTAAGTCTCAGTTCTGTTGCAGTCAAAAGGTCTTAACCTTTGTGTTGCAGTGTACTCATGATGACGTCCCTATTCATGTTGATGCTAACGGCCTTCTTCCTGAGACCAACCAGCCTGCCCAGGCACCCAAGCGAGGCACAACCCTGTCAAGAGAGGAGCAGGGAGCCTTTCGTCTGAGGGTCCACAAAACGGAATTTTCAGTGCAAATAGCAGCACCCCAATCTGAGAGGCATCCATGTTGCTGCTGTCGGTGCAGGAGAGACGTGAAGCTGCCATGTTTGCAGAGCTGTACTCCATCATGGCCAACATCTCAGTCTGAAGCGCTATGGATTTGGCCTAGCCCTTGCGTTCTGCCCCGAGCTTGTGCCAATGTGGATGGAGGAAACTCCGACAGCTGCCAGCTTCCTCTGTTGTGATGAATGTAGTGCTACCCTTTTCGCGCACGATTGGAAAGCTGAGGTTGCTACGGAGCACCTTGAGCAGGCTTTTGTGCGTGGTGCCGTCTCCAACGAGGACAGGCGTGTTGTAGTGCAGCAGTGTATTTGGCTATTTGCGGCGAAGGACTTGTAAAGGAAGTCCTTGCAGAGCGGAAAGAATAGCTCTTTGTACAGCAAAGTCGGGCGGTCACAGGACCGCAGCTCTGGCACGATGTTAGAAGTCTCTTAGACAAGGTGGACGCAGAGATTTTGCACCATCTTCAATATTCTTTCCAGCGACGTCCCACCCTATCTAGCATGAATGTGCCAGACCTGAGTATTTCTCCGAATCGGGACTTCTCCCCTTGACACGCCAGAATATGAGGACCAGAATATGAGGATCCTTGCTGTAGAGAGGTGTGTTTCCGACGCGCCATAGTCCAGTTCCGAGCCTTAGCAGAGAAACAAGTTCATCGGGGAACGGATTGGTAGCTTGTGTTGAGCTGCAGGGCCTGTGCACGCAAATTCCAACTACTCGTAGTCCCGAACCCTGGTTAGTAAAAATACGGATCTCCGAAAGTCATCGTTGCTGTCGAGGACTATGAGAGGACCTGCACCCAGCTCCTGACGCAGTTCAAGACTCTCAAGCAACTTGGTGCGCATTCCCGTCATAGCATAGCACGCGTGGTCAGCTAGAGCTCTGTCCTTGTACCCTTGATGGGTTCTGGAAGATGCCGTGCCAGCCCTCCACTCAGGAATGGGTTGAAAGACAAGCCTGGCACTGAGAAATTCAGCATTCCCGGTGGATGGCAGATAATGGACAGAGAGTAGTGAGTAGTTAGTAACAAGAAAGAACAATCCTGGCCATTGTCACTGATTTCAACCGAAGTCTGAAATTGCTCTATTCTTGGGGCCCCGCTGCCTGCCACTTGCAATCAAAAGTCAGTGTAAGGACATATGGGGGGATGCTTGTTGTTAGGGGTGGGACTAAATCAATCGAGTTAAAAGCAGCTTTGGGCTGCATTTGGGCATGGTAAGGGGAAGGACGGCAACGGGGATCTCATGAGTTCTACAGAAGAATGGAAGCGGGTCTTCTGCGTGGGTACCCCATTTCGAGAGCCAGCCATGTGGGTGGTTGTCAAAATTACGGTCCCTTTTGGATCCCCATTATAATACGGCACCTAATATTCAGGGTACCTAAAAAGGGGCCATAATTTTGAGAACCACCCATGTGCTTCGGAGAGCTATTGAGGCAAGAAGGGCTGTGCCCTGAAATATTAGGTACAGACTAAACATGTACAGCCAAGCCTTCCAAAAGCGGATCAGTGATTCTTTGGCTGGTAACAGATGTGTCCTGTTGCAGGAATCCCCACCAAAACAACAGCAATTGTCTGACCTCATGGCTGCGGATCCGGTTTCGCTTGAGATTTTCCATTTACAGGACTAAAGCCCCGCTACTTTTCACTGTCACTCGCTTGTGTCTCCAAGGTGTCCAGACATCAAAGCCTTCACCAGGGAGCACGGGCTGCGGCCCCAGCAAGCTTCCAGAGTCACGGTCTTTGCCCATGTACTGAAATGGCAGTTTCTCACAATATGATCACCGTAAAAGCGCAAGAGACGTCTGCATTTGTGCTTTGCCTTACGATGGAACTCTGCTTGAGTTGGATTGTGAATTGGGGTGCTAGGCCCCGCATGCAAAGTAAGCTGGTTTTGGGTTTGGTTATAGCATCTCCAAAGAATGTGTTCACTTGAGCATCCTTCAGCATGCCTGCAGCTATCATACTGTCGTTGTTTCTCCGCGGCGCCGAAGACTGAGCACGGCGGCGCTTGCCGCCACCTCCATCAGCAGAGATATGTTGGTGGATTTGGCCAGCTTATTACCGGGACTTCAGGAACCCTGTAGTAACCTGAGACAGCTGTGTATAATATCCGGTTAGCTAAGTACCAGTTCATGTCTGAACTCATTTTTCAATATTGCCGCCCGAGGATGAATTGCCCGCTGGCCGAAGAGAGGCTGCTGGGAACTGGAGTGGCAGCAACCGCCTGGATCTTGGACTGGAGACTCATTCGGGAAGGTCTCCAAACAATCGATCGGGATCATGCTTCAAACCAGGTGAGCATATAGGGGGTTGCACTGGAATTCGGGGCATGAGCTGCCCTGAAAGGAGGGCTCCGCTTCCCGTGGACCACATAAGTTGATGTGCCTGGTCTGTGGCATTTCGTCGTGGGGAATGGCCGTGCAGGAGGGCTTCAAAATGTGGGAACTCTGTGCGGCAAGCACGGGCGAGGGAGGTTTCAAATTCGAAATCCTTGGGTTGACTTTAAATGCGTCAATCTCGGGTCAAGACTTGGAGAACAGATTGGACGTGTGGAGGGTACATCTACTTCCTGTTAGCTTGAACGAAGGCCGAACCCCAAGCACAAACGTTCCACAGCATGACTCACTTCCTATCATGACTATCATTTTGATTCCCATTGCTGCCATTGTTGTGTAACAGTGTATTCCTATGTTTGCTGCTGGTGTTTTGTTTCCAGGCCGTGAATATCATTTTTTGCATGATTGGCATTGCTACGGCTTGTTACTTTTCAAATACCACCCGATGCCAAACCCAAAGTTTTTTCCATCGTCCCATGGCCAACAAGAATGAGCCCTATGCCCCCGAAACCCCCCTCTTCTAGATGCAGCAAGAAGATGTTGTTGCCACCCGCAAGAAAACAGGAGGAGGATGCCCCGGGCTCGCTGGGGAGGGGGGATGGGTGGCCAACCTTTCGCTTGTCAAGCCCGAAACCTCAGCCGCATCCAGACCCCAAACCCTTAACCCTACATTCCTAGATCTAATCCACCCGATACCGTACTCCTAAGGCGCCTCCGCCCTAAACCCCTAAACCCTAAAACCTAAACCCTTTCTGCAACCGAGAGCCCTAAGATCTTAAAAGCCTCAGTCTCTGCATATCCAGGCACTCTTCGGAGGCCCTGCAGCTGCGGGCAAGGAGAGTTTGGCGTGCTTCAAGGCATGGACTTTAGGGCTTTTGCTTTGGAGCTTCTCAAGTCAAGGCACACTAAGGATATGATATGGGGTCATAAAGCGGAATGTAGGATTATGTAGAGGTAGGCATAACTTCGACAGACTAGCCTAGGGATTCTTCTAAAAGCTTGTCAAATTTGTTCTGCAGAATTTGTTTTCAGCAGCATTGAGGAATCCTGTAGAGAGCCTCTAGAGTTTGTACATTGAACATCTATGGCAATTCCCAAAATGGGGGGGAACTCCACATAGAACCCAATATCCTACAATCCTTATTATGGGGACCTCCAATATGGTACCCCGAATCTCGCTGTAGGCCTTAGGGGGTGTGGTTCTAGTGGTAGAAGCTGTGGCGACATCTAAGTAGGCTCCTCCTGCCTTTAAAGCTGCAAGGCATGAATGAACTCATCTGAAGCCGAACATGGACATGCGCCCATACCCTTGGTAATCTGTGCATATATACATATACATATGAGCAGTCGCAGTTATCTACGCAAGAGACTAACAGTAGAAGGCTAGGCGCGTGGGTAGTTTTGCATCTGGATTCAGCGTTCCTGTGGGAACGCGAAGGGGCCGTGGATTGAACGAGATGGGCCACAGGTTCCTTTGCAATAAGAGCCAGTACATATTCCAACATGGCGAGCGAGATCAGGTCAATATGTCAAGCTACAATACAAGATTACAAGGCGAACGAGATGAGGGGCCGTGGATAAAAAATGCCGCATAAGGCCCAGGTAACAAATGAAAGCTGCCGCTATAGGGATTTGCATATTTAGACAAAATGCAGAACACCCCAAAACCGGGCCCCTGTTGAATCCAGACCACAAAACTAACCGGACTCCCAACAGCACATGTGTGTTTTGCTCAGAAGAAGCCAGAGCTCGAAGGCATCGGAGGGCTTTATCACCCTCGTGGATGCCGTGAAGCTGAACATGAATGTCCGGTGCCCACCTAGAGCTTCCAAGTACCCATGTATGATAATTGCCTTTTATCCCAAAATAAGGGTATAATGGCATTGATTATGCGGACAGGTGGCTGGCAAAATGGTCCGGGCATATTCGCTGCGAGGGCCTTTCAGTAGGGGGGTATGTACCAAAGTTGTGCGTATTTCTTCGAACTGTGAAGTGAAGTCCTTAATGATGAGGATGCGATGTGTTTGCATGTGGGTAGTGTTGCTGAGGTTATACAGCAGGACACCCTTTCCGGTCATAGTCGTTCTGCTTGCTCATATCTGCTACGGAATTTGTCATGCTTGTGCAAGGATGGCTTCAAGGTCATAAGGGTCAGCACAGGGTTTGGGGCCTTTTCAACTCCTGTGAAGTAAGAATAGTGAACAGTTTTCCAGTTGTTAAAGCTTCTACCCAGAACCCATTCTATCCTCAAAGCCCAACAAGAGTCCCCAGAAACCCCAGGTTTTTGCAGAAAGGGGGTTGCCCAGAATTAGGAGCACCCTTTCGTGGTCCCCAGAATGAGGATTTGGGGTCCCCCTGTTTATGGAAGCTACGAAATTCTGTCAAGAAAAAGCATCCTGAGCCCTAGGCTGTCGATGAGCTCCTCCCTCTAGTGAGGGATCTACAGGCCAGACCGGCGCTTCTAACGTGCGCAGACCTATAGGTATTAATGCATATATATATATATGCACATATCCATATAGTTACGTGTGTATATGTATGTGTTTATATAAACATCTATGTACATATATAGACACATGTACATACACATATGTATATGGACCTGGATAACATCAATCTCTGTGGCCACAGCCATTGGTGTAAGAAGTTTGGCTGTTTGGGTTTGTGGCGAGGGAGCCCTTCCCCACCCCAACTCTACTGGAATAAACTTTCTGCACGCACCAGCTCCCATTTCATTTTCCATGCGAGTCTCCATTATTGGCGTGCTGTTCCATTTTGTTTTGCTTTATTTCTGCATGCCCCATGTAACCTATGAACCTATAATCCATATATCCTGAACCCCGCATCCGCAAACGTTTCGTGAAGGCCAGCATTGTCGGGCTCTCAGCCAGACTCAGGCCAGAGGTAGTATGCACTAGAATAGCAGCAGAGGAAGCTAGAATATCGAGGGTTTAGGGGTTACATAAGGGGTGTTTCGCGGCAGAGGCCTGATTCCCGGCGCTCAACCCTCGAAATAAGAGCCCTTTGCGGCGCATTCGGGGCAAGAAGGGGGACACTTGCAGGTTGGCACTTCAGGATGATTTTGGGCCTGTGTGATAACTCATCAGGTGGGCATACCGAACCTTCCGCCGCTTGCGGGCATCGAGCGCATCGCAGGGTGCGCCAGCTGAGTTGGCCCTTGGTGATATTCTGCATGTTGCGGGTGTCCCGAATGCACGAAATGGCTTTTGCTGTGGCTATGGGCCTCATGCGCGTGCAGAAGCATGAGTCTCTGACCATTGCCACAGATTTTGTTGGGACCGTGATGTGCAATGTTTCCCTAAACATGGTAAATAGCCGTCTATGTGCAAGAGATGATCCGAAGCCCCAGGGCTTCTGTAAACCACTTGCAGGTGGCTTGTGACACTCAACGGCATGCGGGTCAGCAACTCGGGGTGTGATTGCTCGATTTTTCCTGGTCACATTGCCAGCCCGTCAGGAAGAAGGTAGAATAAGCAAGGAAAGAAGGATGCGGGTAAGTAGTTGCCCAAGAGTGAAGGAGGACCTGGCTACATCCAAGAGGTTGCATGCCCAAGCTAAGGAATCTTGATAACGAGGACCCCAAAAATCACAAACTCACATTTCTGAGACATCCCCAAACCATCAAAGTTCGAACAACGCCCAGAAAGAGTTAACACAAAGCCATGTTGTCTAACATGGTTGCCTTTCTGTCGAGGCACCCCGAAGCAGTCTGATATGATTGCCTCCAAAGGGATAAAGCTATGCCGCTCTAAATTCTAATCTTCCATAAATCCTAGGCCAAAAGCCCCGAACCCTTAAACCCGAAGCCTTAAACCCAATAGACCCTGAACTTCCCTGCGAAGTGCGTGTTTCAGGCCTCAGACCGCCTCTCAGAAGAGCAGACGCGGCAGCTGGCTTTGGATGTGGAGCAGGCCGTCGGATGCATGTGAGCTATACAGTCTACACTCCGTCAAGGAGGGTTATATAGGGAATTATTTAAGGGCTGGCGCCGCTGCGCCGACTCTGGGGGTGAATGGCGGGCCCACTAGGGGGGACGTTAGGGAGGCTGGGAGCCCAGAAGAGGTTTGGGGGGGGGTGTAACCTCACAGAAAACAGCACGGTTTTGAGAGGAGGGGGATGTGAATGGCAGGCCCACGGATGGAAGGAGCCTGGTGGGGGGACTTTGCCCAGGAACCTTCAACAAAGCGTCTGCAGTCTGTGCTAATTGTCGGAGGGGGGACGTTAGGGAGGCTGGGAAGGAGCCCAGGATCAACCTATATCAACCTTGTGAATTTCAAGGCCTGAGTCTTCGGGCGAGGGCTAGACGACAAAGCCTGAGAGGCGAGGGCTGACGCGATGATTTCTGCAGGTCCTTGGTCTTCAGATCTCAGCCGCTGTCAGCCGGCTTGATTCTCGTGTCATTGCGAGGTAGGGGAGGGGAGGCCCCCAACTAATGTATTGATAATCAGTGTATCATGACCCCGCCACCCATACCAGGTGTGGATAACAACTGCCTATTTTTGGCGCCATTGCTGACATGTAGCGAGGCACTTATATGGTAGAATATTGTAGATGAAGTAGGTTAAAAGAATCTTCCGGAATCACGGTACCATAATTTGGATACTGCCCTCACTCAGCAACAGCTGGAAAACAAGCATCATAATACATAAAGCTGTGAATATTGCCTTCGTATAGACTCTTAATGGGTAGAGGCAGCACACGAAACGCCAAGCGCGGTTTGTCCATCAACAATCCGGGACATTAGGGAGCTGGGAGTGAGGATTGGATCAACCTGTTCGGCCGTGCATGGTTTTAGCGAGGGAGGGGGGTCTGGAAAACGCTACAACTCTAGAAGGTCCACACACGGGGTAAAGCGGGGGCAGGGGTCTGGAGGGGGAAGCTAGGAAAGATGGGGACCCTTGTGTTAGGGGCTGGAGGAGCAGACGGTTGGAGGGGGCAACCTGAAAAACACCGGTCGGAGGCAAATAGCAGAGCAAGGGCAGGCTGTTTTGGGTGGGTTTGCGGAGGGGGAGGCGGGCATGGGGGGAGCTGCAGGGACAAACCTTTCCAAATTGAAGGGCAAAATGGGGGGAGGTTTGAGGGAGGGACGTTGGAGGCAGGTTCCTTCTTTGCAGATGGGCGGGGGGTGAGGCTTCCCGTCAGGCCGGGGTCAGCGGATATAGCGGGCGGAGTATGACAGGGCTTTTTGAGGAGGATACTAGGAATTGAGACTCTAGCCCATTTCTCGTGTTTTTGCAGCAGGGTTAGTGGGACACTATCTGCTCTAGCATGGTGAATCCTAACGCCACCCACAACACACTTTCCCACGACCATATGAGGCCCCCATGAGAACTGTTCCTGAACAATTACCAATCTTAGATTTCTTTAACCTTTACATATCTATTGTAGACTATACCAAACCCCCCTACTTACATCGCTCCCTCAATCCCTCAATCCTGTGGCTGCGCTACGAGCAGGCCTATACTTCGCTCAAGAACTGGCTTCACGAGAAGACCTGATTGCAGCTTCGAAATGGTTGGATAACATTGTCTATGTGGGTTCAGGGTTTAGAGTTTAGGTTTCCAGAAAGCATTCATACAAGGGGTCGGGTTATCTCACATCAGCTGGGTTTTTTACGCATCGAGCAGCGCCGACATTGGGAGACCCAGTTCAAAATCATGCGCTTGAGTAGATGTGGTGCAAAAGCAATTCTTGCAGTTGTTCTGTTTCCACAGCGTCCACAGGGTTT